GCACAGCAACCGCCTCTATGCCGAAGCTTGGACGCGTGACAGGGCGCTTTTACGCCGCGCTTTAATGCCGCGTCATGCCCAGTGGCCATTGAACAGGTTTATTTCTAAATATCCAACTGACAAGAAAAGAGCCGCTTTGTGTCGCCACTTCACGTCATCTCCGCGGTCAACTTTTTCCAGGCGCCCGGGACGGCGTCAACGCAGGTTCGAGAAAGTCGGACGTTTTCTGTGCAGAACACGCCGCGTGGAGGCACTTAATTTGGGGATAAAATGTCACGCCACGTTAAACCGTCAAGTGTTGACGAATTTCCAGCTCTGACACCCTTTTTACGATTCTCGATCATGAAGTTAAATTCACATTCGCTTTATTGTTGTTTACACAGGACTAATATAGGAAGTAAGTAGAAGGGGTTTTTTTTGCACTCCTCTCTCTCGCCGTGCCGCAGAGGACAGCGGGAAATATTTGACATGTCGACGCGTTCAGGGCCAGAAGTAGGATTAATGGCCGCCTGCCTGCCTGCAAGGTCCTCTGGCGGTAATTGCAAGCAGAATCGGAGTCTCTGATCTCAGCAGCGGTATGCGACATGTCAAAACAGCCCAGCCTTTGACAGATTGCCTTCCCTTCAGAAATAACTTAAGCACATTTGTTCTCTGAAATGAGGTATCGGCGCGCCTCCCACGCCACAAAACGGGGGCGACGGCTCCTTTCAAGCGCACTCCGTTGAGTGCCGAGCCGCTCGCGATCACGTCGTCTTTTATTCGCCACGTCACCTAATTGCAGCGGACCCAGACGGGACGTGTTTTGCTCTCTCCCCGCTTTGCACTGGAAATCTACAATGTCATCTTGACAGTTGTCATATCTTGATGCAATCGACACTTTGTAAGACACTTGGCGATGAATCATCACAATACCAATTTGATATGTATATCAAATATTGCCATTCTGGCATTTTTATTTCCATCAATGGTGTCAATACCAATGAATGATATCACGCATTCTGATAGTGGTCTTATTTTTTTCCACCCTTAATATGAATACAGTAGCAAGAAAGATAATATCGGCCTATTCTTTCCCCACCCCTCGTATCCATAAAATCTTTTACAATGCCGTATCAATATTTTGCTGCAAGTGCTCTTATTTAGGAGGCCTCCTCTGGTTTTTCCAGCCTCCTGGCCCGCACTAGAATAGCTCCCCTGTGGTTGTCCCGCACTCGCATTCTCCTGCTTGATAGTTTAGCATATCGCCTGAGGACAGAGAGATTCATTCTTATGCGCCCTGGCCTGCGCTGTGGCTGGGCCGTGTCCTCGGGAGCGACGAGCCAGCCAGCCAGGCAGGCAGCCTCTCGCCTCGTGACTGTCCAAACACACTTGACTCCAGGCAGCCACATCAAAAGCGCGTCTCTGCACGGCCTCCTTTGGAAAGCGTTTCACCGCAAGGGTGCTAAACCTATTTACTTTCCACGGTTAAAATACAGTTTGAAAGGAAGGAAAGGAGGAAGAAAAAAAAGGCAAAATGTGCTCATCAAGATGGTCAGAGGCAGTATTTGAAGAGAGGTTTTTGACACGGGAGTGAGTTTGAAGAGACAAGTTCATAAAAGATCCTTTTAGTGCATCTCGCTACAAGTTTTCTCTGGCGACTCCGGCAAATCTGCAAATTCCACATAGGAAGGTCGGAGCCTAGATTCAAACCCCGAACTTTGGAAGTGCTTGCCCACTGTGCTGCCTGAATTATTTTATCTTGAAGTCAACATTTTTACATGTTTTAGCTTTAAATGTGGCGCTTGAGCACAGATATGAGCCCATGGCTGTGCTAAGCAAAACTACATAAACAGTACTTTGCTAAGGACTGGAACTTTTTTTTTTTTTTTAAAGCCGGACCACTTGCTATGAAATCAAAATCTGTGGTTTTCTAAGTCAAAGTGGAAATAACATTCCCCCTGCCTGAGATGCTTTAGCCCTTACAGACCTCACCGTGCGTACGGGATGACAAAACATCCCTTTTCTGCCAACAGCTAAGCACGAGGAGGTTGACGTTCTGCCTCGTAACAATAACGCAAACATCTGAACCGCAGCTGTCCGGTGGGGTCAGCGCACGGCCAACGCCGATCGGGGCCCCTCGACGTCGGAATGAAAGATGGCGACGCTCGCGACATCAATGCCAAAACTATAAAGTTCATGACCCCGAAAGCTCCTCCAAAAGTTTCTTGACATGTTCGGCCTCAAAGGTTAAAGTCATCTCCAGTTAGCCATTTGCATTAGGCTAGGTTAGCATATTGGGTCACTTCCCTTTGGTCATTGTTGCAAACATGAGCGTTGTTGGATCTGCTAGCGCTGACATGTTTCCAGTCCTGCCTCACAGCTTGATTGAACCAGATTAGCCCAATGAGCGTAAATGACAGGATACGGTGACATCGGGATGTTGTGTCGTGTTGCCACTGCTACAACCGAGCCACTTGGAGTCGCCGATTGTCAAACAAGAGACCTCCATCGCCGATACGCTTGTTCTTTTAATTAACCCCTCAGCAAAGCGTCAACATCCACACGCTGCCATGACACACTCGGTCACTTTTCCGCCAAATTCCGAGCCAACGTTAGCTAGCTTCTCCTCCAAATACAGAGCTCTTGGAACAGCGGGGGTGTCACACTTTGTTGGCATTGATGAACTCTCACTTTCACGTTTGTTATCCAAAGCCTGAAACCCGCTTCTATCAGAAATCAGCCTTAAAGAGCTGTGCCGTTGTTTTTTTGTCGTTGCGGTGGACTAACGTCAGCAGTTGCTCGGGGCCCCCTTTCAGTTCGGGGCCCGAGGCAACTGCCTGCTTCGTCGCCTGCCCTTTTCAGGCATGTGTGCGTGTGTGTGTGTGTTTGTGTGTGTGCGTGTCTGCTCCAAGTATTAATTTGTGTAGCGCCACCCCGTTTAATTGGTCTTAATCTGAAGTGAGCGGCTTTGATCTGCCTGACAGTTTGACTGCATTAGCGCGAGCGCGGGGGCTAATCCTCGCCGTAGCTTGTTCTCGCGGCTCAGCCAGAGGCCTGTCCAAGCATAATATGTCAGCTGAGGGGATAAGCCGTCATCAAACAAGCGCGTCTAAGCTTCTGGAACACGAGGGTTGAAGGGCCGCCGTCACGCTGCGCCGACACAACAACCGCCGAGATGTTGAGCCGCCGCCAGGCCCGCTGTGCACCTTTTGCCAACAAATTCTGAGTGGAACGCCGTCAAGTTGACTACATTTTCATTTTGACCGACATTGTTTTTCAAGGGGGGATTTCAAGTTTGAACATGTAATAAGTCATCTCGCACACCAGTGTGCCAGGAAAGATTGTCAGCCGTCATAGGAAATGATCCAGCGGCGTTGATTCCGTCCCAAATTTTGCATACGAATGACTCGCGACTTGGAGTGACTATAAGAGAACAAAAATAAAAGAGAATTTTGTACTGATGTATTTTGTGCGATCTTATGCTCATCACCTGTAAAAAAAAAAAAAAAAAAAAAAAGGCAACGTGTGATCTGCTCTGACAACAGACCGAAGAATTGCGGTTAAGTGTGGCGCTGGCATTCAGTCCTGTGACCACACACTTGATGCCTGATAATAAACATAGTTACACGGCCGCGTAGCCCCAGGAGCCGGCGTACAATCGCGTCTTTATCTCACATCTGTACAAACACCGGCTGTTTTCCACCCGCATTTTTAAAATTGTTTTGTATCCGCGCCGTCATTTCACATCCCGAACTCTGACTGAACTGTGATGAACCGCGATAGCCATCTTGACAGCCAACAGTGAGTGCTTTGAGCGCAGGCGAGGCGAGGGCGGGAGAAAGAGAAGTGTTTCAAATGAAGAAAATGGCCGCAATGCCTTGATTACAATTTAGACAACCAGTTTATTTCTTTACATCCTCTTTTATTGTTTTCATACGGTCTATTTTTATAATATGTGGATCCAGTATTCTTTGTGATGAAAACAGTCACCTAAAAAAAAAAAGGGGGGGAGCGGGAGGGGGCGTACGAAGAGATTATTGCCATTTCGGTGCATTTCGTGAGCCGCGGCTGAGCAAAAGTGCAGCTGCCGACAGCTGGAGCATTAGCACGGCCATTAAGAGGTGTCCAACATTTCCAGGGAAAGCATTTGAAAAATGACAACCTCCCGGCGCTGCCGCGATATTAATTGTACACAGAGGCCGGCGGAAAAAACACATGTGGAAACAGTTGGTGGGACAAAAGGCGCCTTGTTTCACCCTCACAAGGTGCCTTGTTTGCGCGTCAGCCGTTCAACGCCAACAACTGGGAGCTAATTGTTTGCGGAACTAACTCATTAAACATCGCATGCGCGTGTGGGCGCATTTCTTCAAATGATTTTCTTGGAAAACAAATAGTGAATGTTTATCAGCGTATTTTGGGGGGGATTTTAGGGGTTAAGCCCCCTCGGGTCCTGACTGGAGTGCACCATTTGAAGACCCTCACGGTGGAGTCGAGTTGAAGGTTGTCATCATCCTCGAAGAACAATTACACTCTTGACTTAAGCAGAAAGCATGAGCTAAATCTGCCCGTGATGTAAATTGAGGATTAATTTGCCGTGTTTTCGCTAAGACGACGACCTTAACAAGGATCCAGCGAGGGCCCCCGTAATTAAAAGTGCCAATTCCCCAAAGATTGCGATTCATGAATGGCTCCGAGCTCAATTCCAGCACCCGGGGTCCGACGGCTTTTCCGCAGATGATGGCAATGTGATGTTGTGCTTCTCGTGGCGTCCGTGCCAGCCCTCGTAGTTACTGATGCAGATAAATGCGGCGCCATTCATCATCACCTCCTATTCATTAATAGCCAATAAGTCATTGCCGCTTCCTCACAGGAAGATTTGGGAATGTGACTTAACCACCACGAGTGCTTGAGTCCGTGGAGGATGGAGGGAAGGAGGGAGATGCCGCTGCTTTTGCTCATTATGTCTTATTCTACGTGGCATTCGCCTGCCCAGCTGTCATCTCCATAAAGAATCACACAGGAAGCTTAGTATTGTATTTATTTCAGCCGGTGCATTTTTCTTTTTCTTCTTGGGGAAGAACGGAGGTGCACCGACTGATGAGAAAGGATGATAGATGTTGCGCCCGTGTCCCGGCTCTCCTCTGGCCCGTTGTCATTAATCAGCGCCATTAGGCCGCGCTCTCGCCTTCCACTGCCGCAGCCTCCCTTTTGTCTCATATCCATAAAGGGAAAAAGCCGCATATACTTCCGCTTGCTGCTGAGGCGATGCTTGCAAGCTAAAGGCAAAAGTAAAAAAAAAAAAAAAAGCAAAACAAGGCATTGCAAGAAACCACAACTTGAATTTCAACCATGTTGCTATAGGGAGTGAAAGCAGAAGCCAGAACCGGGTTGCCCGGTTGGTCTGCGTGTGAGCATCGAAGTGTGAGGTGTGGCCAACAGCTGATTAAAAGTCTGGAGGTTGTTTAGACCGTGAGTGAAAATAATTTGATTAAAATCGAGCGAGCGACAAATCATAGTCTTGTCAAACAGCACGTTGCTCAAAAGTTAAATATAACTGAACTGTACTTTGCAAATGTACTTTAAGGGGTTACGTTATTATCTGACGTAATGTTACGTGTGCTCAGTTTCAGCATTTAAATTCACTCGTTTTTTGCCCACCACCACTTGAAGGCGTTCGAGGGAAATTTTTTTTCATGCTGATATTCATCGTCGGGCTTTCATTTGATCTTAAGTCAACGAGCATTGTTTTAATTTGAAGCTGTTATCATCCATGTTGTCGCTAATCGGCAGTGTCAGTGCAGCGGTTGAAGCCCCCAACACAACACAACACACACGCACACACACACACACACACACACACACACACACACACACCTCATCATCATCATCTGTGTCATCCAAGCCAAGCGGTCTGATAGGACGATAAGGCGTGAAAGTGATTCACACGGCTTCATTCCGAGGGGCTTTGCGTGTTTGATTTGCATAACTAGAGAAAATGATATTAGATGGGCATATTGATTTAATTTTGTCCGGGCGCGCTGTTAATTACGCTATCGTAAAAGTGTCACGGCTTTATTGCCTTGGTTCAGAACGGTCGGGGGGGGGGGGGGGGGGTGGTGCGTTGCTTTACGGCTGCCGTTGTTGCCTGGCTGCGGCGAGGTCGTCAAAATTATATTGTCAGGCGTGATTTTTACATGAGTGGGTCATCGTTAAAAAGAGAAAAAAAAACTCGGAGATGTAGTATCAGCGGCGCTTTGAAGGATTAGCCCCGGCTCATCTGACTTTGTTCTTTGGTATCGCATGGAGTGAGTCGCGAGTGTTTTCCATCTGCCTGTAACCGCCCCCCCCCTACCCCCTCCTCCTCCTTGCGCTGACATCTTGATTTATATTCGGCTTTTAGCAGGACTACGTGTTTGACATCATTCCGAAGAGGACAGTCTCCTTTCATCTTGATGGAGAACACATGGCTCCCGTGGGCCGCGACTCGCATGTGCTACGAGTTGTTGGCGCAACCCGAAAACAGGGAAGCACGTGGCTTCTTTGTTAGCGTCGTTTTTAGCATTAGCATTCGGTGTCATTTGTCAAAGTTATTCACAGCATTTTTCTCTGTGGTCGGTCAAATGTACAAGATATGTTCAATTTTGAGGGATTTTGCATGCTGGAGGGGTAAAACTTTGTCCGTCTTCTATCTCGATCGTGCAGATTTTTCACCTATTGTGGCTGGGTTGAATGTAGTCTTTTCGATAAAAAGAGTTCACT